GGAGTACGGGGAAAATAATGAAAGAAAGAATGATAGTTAAGTAGGTAACCACTTCCCTAAAAGCGTGACTATAGGTTATTCTAACAGGAAACTCTTTTTTAGAAGTAAAATAATAAAAGTAACAGTTTTGTTAACAGTAGATGAGAAACTATTATATTTTCACCATTAGTTGAAGTTAGTTGTAAATCGTGTGTATCCAGCAGACTCTTTTCCAGAGGAACTACATTTCTTCTTGAACATATCAAAAATATACCACACAACCACCACCAATACCACCACAGATCAGAGCAGAGCAGAGCAGAGCAGAGCAAAGCAGAGAGTAAGCCCCACCTTTTCTTGGTTTGCTTTTATGATCATCCTTGTCCTTCGTATATTCAGATCGTCTAACAGCAGCTTTTCTGTTAACTATCAACGCCTATAACGTGTAAACTAAAGCCCACTTAGTTAAAGTACATACTTTGTTCATTCTCAACGTTATAAACCCAATTTCTAAATAATATTATTCAATCCCCCTGTAATACAGGAATAAAATGATCTAATATACTGTACTGTATAAAGAGTTTGATCGATATAATGATTATAAAAAAAAAAGAAAAAAAATAAATAAATCTGTGAACTTCGAACTTGGTTTACGATTTTTTTTTTGGTTTGTTTTTTGTTTAATTGGGTTATATTTTTAAAAATAAAAAAAAAAAATAAAAAAAGATTTGGCTATTTTTACGTTTCCTTAAACGACGACGCCACCTATTTCTCTCTCTCTCTCTCTCTCTCTCTCTCTCTCTCTCTCTCTCTCTTTTTCTGTATACAATTGAAACGCGTTCTTGGATACTTTCAAAGCAAATCGAATATGTTTATATGGAAAACAGATCCTATGAACGGGAGAGTGTCAATAAACACATTTGTGTCTGACAAACGGCAAGGAGGTCGGAATTGGAGGGATATAGTTAACGCGTTGAGGAAAGTGGGTCGTGTCGAGGAAAGAGATAAAGAGAAAAGGAGAAGGGGGGGTTTTATAGGAAGAGAAAGAGAGAGAGAGAGAGAGAGAGAGAGAAAGAGATAGAAAGAGAATCGATCGACCATATTACCAGTCGTGAACAATTCACTTCAAAATCATCGACACAAATGCGATGGATTTTCTAAAAGTCGATTTATCGTATATAAAATTAAAAACCATTGAGAAGAAATGAGAGAGTGTGTGTGTGTGTGAGAGAGAGAGAGAAAAGAGACTATAAGATAAACGAAAATGATGAGCCCCATTTAAATTGCACCGTTATAACCCTCTTTCCCAAAACATTTTTAAATTTGCCCCCACTGCGCCGCCATTACCATCAATCCTTTCTTTCTTTCTTTCTTTCTTTCTTACTTTGGCGAAATATAAAATTGGAAAATGGTGTCTAACACTCTACGAAGATAAATAATTATATAATTATTAATATATTATATTATATATTAATAAATAATATTAATTAATAAATAAATTAATAAATAATATTGTATTATTTTGTATATATGGAAAATGGCGTCTGACGGTCTACAAAAATATAATATCGAATAATAAATTAATTAA